TGGGAGGGCAGTGGATGGGGGGAGGGGTTTGTTACTTTGTGAGGGTGAAAAGGGTAACTATTGCATTGTTCTGTACACCTGAAACTAACAATAAAAACAAACAAACAAACAAAAACTGACCATTCTGTGTTCTTTTATCTTGTATTAAAATGTCCCTAAAGTGCCAGAGCCCAGATGATAGGGAAGAAAAGGTACACCTGTGTCTTAATCGATGCAAAAAAAAAGATCAAAATTGTGTTGACGGTCTTTGGTTAGAGACACAAATCTTCCTAGCGAATTACAAAACTCACTTCTGTTATCACACACTCAGTTTAGGGAGTCAAGTGCTCTGGTGGAGTAAATGTATACTTGTCCAGACACAAAACAATTTCAGCACAACTTTTAGTGAACAGCACAGCTAAAGCTTTCCTAGGTGTGAGCACTACATTGTTTCATGTCTCAGGTATTTATTTTTTCAACATATAAACCTTCAGCCAGAATATCTATTACTGTGCAATTCAACTTGAAAGAGGCATTGAATATAATGTTAATGTTACTTCTGACCTAACTAAGCAGGAAATCTTGTTTTCTTCAAAATTCAGATGAGCATTTAAGCCTTGAGAGACAGGAAGTTAAAGAGTAAGGTAATGCTACAAATGTCCATATTGAATACATGGGAGAGATTTGGTAAAATAACTAATTTGGTTCTCAAAGATAATGGGGTTACTGAAATTCATTGATTCAAGTGAATAAATGTAAGCAGTTGTTAAACTAAATTTGGGACATCTCCATTGTATTTGGCTAGTAAAATAAACCTACTCTAGACAGACCAAGAGGAGAGAGAGAAATTCATTGAAATACTTAAAGAGAGTAACAGGTTAGCTTAGATTAACCTAATTTAACCCAAGTAACAGATCTTTTGCTGCATTTGCCTGTAGCCAAAGAGACCTCAGATTGCTCAGTCTGTTTTATGATCTTTGAAGCTTTAAGGTAACTTCTGAGGCTGCTTTTGTTTTTCAGGAAGATCAGATGGGATGCTCGTGGGTAGCCATCACATCATCTTTATCTAGGCTTTTGCTGGATTTTACGCTTGGAGTCCTGGGTCCTTGCCAGGATATTTAACAGATGGTTCCAGGAATGAAACCATTACTATCTGCTTAATAACATCTCCTCTTCCAGGATAATGATTACGTCACATATGGTTTGTCTTTTTCCCCCCCTCATTGAAGCTTCAAGTTATGGAGCTATATCTGCACCCATTCTCCTGAAACAAGGCTTCTCTAAGAACCCTTCAACCTGGTCTGTGGATGAAGTGATAGAATATATGAAACAAAAAGATCCTCAGCTGTCAGGCTCCCATGCAGACCTCTTCAGGCAACATGTAATGTATCTTTTGATCTGGTTTTCCTGCCGTAATGCCTTTGAATGACCTCTGTGCAGGCCCTTCATTTGGATGCTGATTTGTGTGGATGATGGGGGAACCCTAGCAACTGATTTTTTTTCCATATGTGAGAAAGGTTACTTTGCCCAAGTTAGATCCTTAAATGGTAGAGGCTGCATCTGTGCTTTAAATGAGTCCCTGAGTACCTAAAATACTACAAGTCTTAAAGTTCTCAAGAGAAGATGATTCAGCATGGCCATTCTTTTTCTTTTTCTTTTTTTTTTTTAGCTGAGCCATCCTGCCACCTGTTGTCACTCAGCAGCAGCTCAGTGTGGGCCATGAATCGAACCGGTGACCCTGTTGCTCAGAGCTCACACTCTTGAGTGAGCTCTTAACCAACTGAGCCACTCGGCCAGCCCTGGCATGGCCATTCTTAGGTGTCTTCTCCTTTGTAAGAACAGCTACTAAGGTCCTCCTCCCCACCTGCTCTCTGCTTGGTCTTAGGACCGAGAGTAGGAGGGTGACCACAAGCTGTGACAGGGTGTCCTTGTTATGATGCCCAATGAATCTAGCAACTATATAAGATTAAGTGCAGCTTCATTTTAAATGGGAACTTGTGAATACCACATAATATGCTTCCGTGACATAAATTGGTTAATTAAGGAAATAAAGAATTTTAGGAGGATGCCTTGTGTCTATTAATGTTTATAGTCTATTCTAATAAATCATATTTGTGACCAAATATCTGATGTATCCTTATCAGTATTGTAAGAAAATTAGTGATTAGTTTTAACATTTAATTAGCTTCAGACACCTGATTAACTTTCAGCATAAGAGAACACTGTATAGCACATTTACAGTTTGCATTGATGCTGACATACTCATAATTCCCAGTCTTTCTAAGAAAGTTAATGACCATCTGAAATTAATTTCTACTGGTCATAGTTTTCTACCCTTTGTCATAGATAATGTAGTATTTTATTTGGCACATAGTATTTAAAATCAGCTAGTTTGATGCTTGGGTCATTTTTTAAAGATATTGGGTTAAATTTCCTTTTTCCTAAAATTTGAAGTGAATTTAGAAATTACCAAATGATGCTTGACTATAAATTATAATTTAAATAGTTTTCAGGAAATAAATGTGTATTCAGAGAATATGTATCAAGAATACACAGCTGCTCTCCATTTTACATGTTCTTATATATAAATAAGTTTTGACAAAATATGAAAGCATTATTAATTATAATTTCTTTCTCTCCGTAGGAAATTGATGGAAAGGCTCTGCTGCTACTCAAAAGTGATATTATGATGAAGTATATGGGGCTGAAGTTGGGGCCAGCTTTAAAGTTATGTTACTACATTCAAAAACTTAAAAAAAAGGGAAAACAATTAAAAAAGGTGTAAGCTTAGGTTAGATATAAGTCTCAGTTGTCCTGATAACTTAATAATTGAAAATTATTTTTATTCTCTTAGCAGTTTTAGTTTTATAGACAGTTCTGAAAAAAATTTATTATATCCAGAATTGTAGAACTACAGTCTAGTCCAGTCTGCTTCTTTATAAACCATTTAACATGTTAGTATTAGCATATTCACATTGGCAGTTCATTCTCTATAGCTTTTTATTATTTTATTGTACAGTTGACAAATATAGTTCATGTAGGAAACAGAAAAACACCTTTGATTTTAGTTAGTGTTTGTATATAAAACCAAAACAGCTAAATCCAAAGGGGAAAGTATCAGGGATTGACAAGTTCTCTAATGAATAATCTATGAGAAGCTTTTCTTAGAAGAGAATTTCAAGATGCAACTGCCGATGCTGTCTCTTTCTCAAATAGTGTGTATCTTCAGATAGTGTGTATCTGTTACTGTAGTGTTCTGTTCGTGTTCTACCAGTTTCCAGAAAGGAAACGGCCATATAAGTTATTTTCCTTTTGTTAATATTTCTCTGTTGTATTTGTTCCTATTTAAAGAAAAAAAAACAAGCTTACAGACTTTCATAAAATGTTCTTACCAGTTTTTGATAATTTTCAAACAGTTATAGGATAGATAGTTGTTTTATGCAGGAGATATTATACTACAAGGGTGGTTTGGATGAAGTTTGATTTTTTTTCAGTAAAACACCTATTATTTTAAAACTACATATTTTTGCTAATCTTAGACATTTAACTAGGCATTCATTTCTCACATCTCTATATGAAGATACCTGTGCCCAAATTTTTAAAAGATATATATTTTGTTGTCTGCATTTATTCTTCATATTGATAGTATACCATATTTATATATTATTCTATAGCTGTAAGTATACAAACAAGTAAACTGTTCTTTTTGAATTTAATATGGCACTTTACACTACCACAGAGGTAATGATTAACTATTTATATAATTAGATGTTTTTATTCTGCAAAAAAATATGTGCATCATTTGCTATTACTAGTACCTCTCAGCAGTCTTCAGGGGATAAGAAACTATCCGTAGATTGGTTTCCATACAGGGAAGTTCTCTGTCCTATGCAATGTTCCTGGCTAATTTGCTTAGTTCTGAGCCATTCTGCTAAATTTTGGAGGATGATCATTTTGCCCTTTATTTTTAAAGTTAGAAATTTCAAGGGGAAATGGTGCTATATGTTTATTGTTATTACTCTATAACTTTGGAGTAATGTTTATAAGCTATGAAACTGTGCTAAAAGTATTAGCCATTTGTTGTAAATGCCAATAAAATACACACCAGGGGCAAGAATATACATTTTCTTCTTTAGAAAACCAAATGTACTTTATACAAGAATGCAACTATTTAAAGAGTGGTTTCATCTATGTTACTGCTTTTTTGTTATAAGATAAAATTGTAATTTAAATTTAGTCTTCTCTCAAATTGTTTGTGTGAAGATGTTGTGCCCAATTGAACAGTCCTCAGGTATTTGTATAAATATATTTTACGGTTGTCAAATTTTAAAATATAATAAAGTTAAATAACTGCAACAATTCGTGTCAAAGCTTCAGATTTCATTTTGCTTGCTTTTGCTGCATTACTGAAAAAGAAGCACTCTAGAAAGTTGGTGGTTTTATATGTCCAAATACTTGAGTTTTTTTTTTTTTAAGATTTTTTATTGGAGAAGTGGGGGATAGGAACAGCGCTGGGGAATCGGGGGAAGGGGAACAGAAAAGTTGCTGTCCTTTTGTTCTTCAGTCTAGTTGAGGACATTGCTTCACTGGCCCAAGTTGGCACCATCATTGCGCTCTTCCCGGGCGAGGCAGATCAGTCGCCGGCTTCTGGACGGCCGCTCACGCCGGCTGCTGGCCACTCACGGTAGCCCAGCTCCAGGTTGAGCTGTTGTTCAGCATCTTAGCTGTAGAGGGCAGTGTCACTGGCCCACATATGTGGGATCCGAACCGGGGCCCTCTGGCATCCCAAGCCAGCTCTTAACCAATGTGCCACTTGGCCAGCCCCAAATACTTGAGTTTTAACACGTAACCTCATTCTGTAGGTAAACCGATTCCTAGGAGCAAAGGACTGATCTCTTGAAAGGGCCTTAAATGAGACCCCAGGGGAACAGTATGAAGTTAAATCAATGAGCTTTATCTGTGCTCAAAACCTTTGTTACTTGCAACGTTACTGATGCAGCGAGCATGCTAGAAAATGCCAGTGGCCCCAGAGATTGTCCTGCCTGAGTTCATGCATCTGACTGGCAATTCTGGCTACTTTCCCCGCTGGGGACCAGAAGTTAAACCATCTCTGTCTTCAGCTCTTCAGCTCTCCCAGCTCACATGGTGGAAATGCCTTAGAGGCTCAGGGTCGTGCTTGAATCTCCTTTGGGACCTGACCCCTCAGCCCATCCGCCCGGGAGCTGCTGCTCCATGCCTGGGAACCCAGAAACTTCCTGCTGTTGCTTCTCAGCAGTGTGTCCTGTAGTTCCTGGAGGCGACGGGGCCCTAACAGGCTCCAGAAGTGATCCTCAGGTGACCGGGATGAGGTGTCCATTTGCTGCCTGAGACTTGGGTCATTCAGAACCACTTGTTTGTTCACTGCCTGGTTGGTAAATTTTAGGTCCAGAGATGAGCACGTTAGCCTCCTGTGAACTTCCCTCTAGTTTTGCCTCTCAGTCCATCCTTGGACACTCGGTAGCCAACAGAAGTGCACCTTGGGCCCTCTGGGCACAGCAAACATTTGCTTGCTTTGGTCTGTGTGATTTCTGATCATGGGAATGTTTGACAGTACATGTTCCAGAGAAAGATTTCCCAGACTTAAACCCGGGCCCCCTCTGTAAGCATGAAAAAGCTAAGCCCTTCTGTAATACTAGAAATGGGAAATTAAACATTACAACCAGGAACAGTGTAACTGGAGGGGAAGCACTGCTTTTTCAAGCTACAGGAGGGACTGTACTCCACTTGGCTGAGGAAGTGAAGTACAGTTACGTTTCTGGGGCTCTTTGCTCTGTGTGATGCTGGGCCTTGCTTTTATGTCTAAGTTCTGAGGCTGATGATCCAGGGAATGAGGGGGCTATAGGGGAGGGAAGACGTGCTAACCAGGGCCCACCTTCGGAATGCATGGCGGACACTTCTCCCCTCGCCCACCCCCAACGTATCCTCTTGTCCAGCAGCTTGATGGAATTGAGCTTTGAAAGCACCTCTCCCCAGTGAGCACAGACTCAGCTTGATCTTGTCCACACTCCTTGCTATACTAGAGGTAATTTTGGTGTTATAGGACCACCTTCCCTGGCTTTAGGGACACTATTAGCACTGAGGGGAGATCCTTAAGAAATAAGTGACCTAACTCCCCTCAAGCTGTGTAGAACATAATTGAGGTGACCCACCATTCATGGAAAGGAGAGCCTCAGGCTGCTTATGATACAGCATGTGTCAGCACCAAGCAACTGTGAGTGGTGTCATAATACTTCAGTCATTCTGTGTCCTGCTCTTCAGCTAAAGAACCAAAGAGCTTAGTTAAGCTCATTTACTTGGGGAAATAGCTTCTCAGGGGCAAGGGTTGCTGCCAGGGCAGGTTATGGCCTCTGCAGGGCCCACTCCACCTTTGGCCTCCCCGCTCCACCTGCCTGGGCTGACCTGAGCTACTCAAGTCCCTTCATGTCAGGGGTTGTGGGGGACATATTCCATGAGGCACAGAAGTCAATCCATTGGGAGCAGGTTTGATATGTTACATGTTCCTTTTAGATTTATTGTATATAAGATGAGAGAAGTAAAGCTCTTTTACATTTAGTGGGTGGCTTGACTAATGTGAAATGTTCCAAAGTACTGGGTGGAAGCAGCGTTTCCCATGTTTCCTTACCAGTGGAGTGTGTTCAATTCTACTAAGTGGAAAAGAGAATTTTCCACTGGTGGCTGCTCAGGACAGGCCTTTGGGCATCGGAAGAAGGCAGATGTGGGTTTTGCCAGTGGTCCCTGAATGTCGTCTTGAGATTCACCAACTTCAGTCATGCTCCCATGAAGGGAGCATCCCTGCCACCCTTGTTCTCCTGGATCTCTGGAAACCCTCCCTTGCGTTGGTCCCCTGACTTCCAGCAGCTGGGTAAGCTTCTGGTTCTGTATGATACCACTTCCATTCTGAAGACAAGCGTGTGTCTCTGCTCAAAGCCTGACTGATCACTCTCCCTCCGGATGTTGTTCTGCCCACTGTTCAGAGGGAAGAGTAGAAGTTCCACAAGAAGGGGCCTTTCTATTTCCTAGTTTAAATAAGCTAGTACATTTAACCAAATGTAAAAGTTCTTTGATTATAAGATACACCCTTATTTTATGAACCAAATAGGAAAGAATACCACCTATTAAACTATCACCATCAATTATGAGCAATCCATTTCATAGATGTTAAAATGTGGAAAATGGGTGGCTTAAGGCATAAAATGTTAACTCAAAAGCTGAACAGGTCATTTTAAAAGGCTAAAGCAAGGAAACAGAAGTAAAGACTAATAATGTAAGCCCAAGTGAACAGCAAGAAAATTGCCGAGCTAGTCTGAGCTTTGTAATAACCACAGTATAAATTAAAACAGAAGCAATTGAATCAGGTCTGCCAAAAATTCACAATCACAAAGACTTTGAAATGTGAAAGTCTATCCCCTATCATAAGCAAAAAGCCTTGCCACAAACACACGTTTTACCTTTAGGTATTAGCTAATGCTGGGATGAAGGTATCACATTTAGCAAGACATTTATTTCCTTGCATGCAGCAAGGCAAAAAGCATGTTGAAGTGATTATAGATCAACACAGTCTTAAAGACATGGAATATAATAAATGCCACGCTTGGACCTTGTTTAGGTCCTGATTAAAATAAGCCAACAGTCAAAAGGCATTTATGAGAGAATACAGGAGGTGAACACCCCGTGGATATTAGATGATATTGAAGAGTTATTTATGACAGTGGTGCTCATGGTACTATGTTTTGAATGGGAGGTGCCCTATTCAGAAATGCATACTGAAGTTTTACGGATGAAATGAGATGCTATCTGGGGCTGTTTTTGAAATAATCTAGCAGGGAATGGGGTATAGATGAATGGGATTAGCCCTGTGTTCTTATTGTTGAGGCCAGGTGATGAATACATGGAAGTTCTTTATATAATTCCCTGTATTCTTATGTATGCTTGAAAATTCCCAGAATAACATGTTTAAGAAAAGTATCAAATTAATGTCTTGGGATTTTTTGGATAAATACCTAAGAGTGGTATTGCTGGGTCATAAGGTAGTTCCATTTTCAGA